ATTTAATGTTATAATATCTGAGCATGTATGAGGATCATCTTTGGTTTGGTGGCAGTTTCTTCCCACATGAGAAAGACTCAAGAAATTGGCTGCGAAACAGTTTATGAAGTGAACTGATGAAGACTTTTCCTGGAAGCTGCTTTTGTGCTGCCAAAGAAACCAAAGAGACGCCCAGTTTCAGATCATTTGAACACTTCTGAGGGAGAGAAGGCGGTGGGTGGGACATATGGGACCATCCATGTAATCCTAATTAGCAGTATACATGGAATATATAGGAATGTATGTAACTATATATTGCTGCGAGCTATTATAGGAGGGACAGAACTGTAGAGGTGCTACTTTTCAACATTTTTAAAGAGCTTGAATATTGGCGCACTATATAACTTTGTTGCTTGTCTCCGTGGAGATTTTATTGCTTTGTCTGCAATGTCCACCCTATGGCATTAAATTTGTCTATCTACGTATACTAGGGATGTAACAATGTCCAAATCTCACAGTACGATATTTTCACGATAGACATCTCATGGTACGGTATTTTGTGACAAAATTGTGAATATGCTATTTTTTCCTCTTAAAAATGCCTTGACAAGATTTTTTCAAACAACTGAGATTTAAAAGTGCTTAGAACTGCTATTTCTTCATGTAGTTTGCACCAAAACAGAGCAAAGGATCATGGTTGATGTAGTTCCCTCTGTTTTTTTTAGCTATTGCTGCACCATAACACTGAATTTAAGCAAAGAAACTTGTGATTCAATATATTGTGACTGCCCATGATATTATTGAGAGACTTTTGACGATGCAATATCACAATATTTTGGTTATTGTTACACCCCAATATATACACGAACTGATAATCTTACAAGGCTAAGTTACAGGTCAGATCTGTCTCGAGGCGGCCACCCTCATACATGTTTTTTCTAGTCTATTTGAGCTTTAAAACCACCTGTAATGAAATAGATGCAAGATATGTTTTAATGCATACTGTGGAACATTTCATGAAGACAAGCAGGTGTGTTGCAGTGATGTTACATACAAAATCCCACATCCATATGAACTGAATCTATATATGAAGCTAACCTTTATTATTCTTTTTATCCCACTTATATCTCTATTAAATCATCTCACAGTATGTTGATTCTCATCTAATTGACATTTAAAAGGCACAGTCCCACGTGAAGGAAGAGGCGGACACTGCTTCTGTACAGTATATTTTGGTTGCTCTTAGATCGCCATGACAACCCGGCAGGAAGCAGGAAACAGAACGCACTGCCCTGAAATACAGATAACCCATAATTTGCTCTAGCTGGGTTCGTGTCTCTAGGGCTGCTTTAGTGTGCATCTGCTTTGACATGTTCTGAACTTAGACCCCACAGCAGACCCCCTGCACCCCCACGGAGGCGCTTTGTGGGTCAAGCTTCTGTTGCTGGGTCGTGGTATTCTGGGAGAGGGGTGGGACATGGAGAGAGGCAGCAGTTAAAAATACCTATGGTTTTATGTGTCACAGGTATAAGGACATGCCATTGCCAAATTTTTCTTCTATGTACTGTAAAGAATATCTTGACCAATGAATGCAATTACTTTGATTTTATTGTAGAAAAGGGTTGGAGCTAAGTATATACGTATTTTTAAATTCCTTCCATGCCCCTTTTGGACATTTTACAAGGAGATAAAGAGGAAACGCTATCAGTTGTTTATGGTTTTTATTACTTAACTTGATAACAGATGTTTTATTATTCTTGTATTCCCAATGTTTTTAGTCATGTCTGTCCAAATTTATTGTTAGTGTCTGTTTTAGCAGTAGTTAAAGGCCCCATATAACTATAAAATGTACTCTTGTGAGCTTTAAACCATGTTATAATGCTGTTACCTCATCAAAAACAGACCTGGAGTTGTGTTTTGTTTCATTCACACATGTTTGAGTAAGCCTTTATTATTATGTCTACATATTCAAAGCTCAAAATGCTCTAATCCACCTTGTGATATCACGTGAGAGATGGGCAATTGCATGGCTGAATCATCCAACAACAGCATGTTTGTTTTTTTTGTTTTTTTGATGAGGAAACAGCATTATAACATGAATCAGAAATTGTGTAAGATGATTCCTGTTATAATGTGGTGGGCTATTCCAAAGATATACAGTAAGACTTTACGGAAATTACTTGATTCATACCATACCTTGATCCTGAATACAAAAATCGATTTTTTTCAGATTCAAATTATGTTTTAAATTGCTAATCACTATGGCAAATTATTCATCATTCTGAAGCCCATGGATATATGAATGAATTTGGCCTTGAATAGCCTTTAATATCAATTCCTATGTTCCATCAAAGCAATGTCCTTTTTTTGTACCATGAGAGCCAAAGTATTAAAGGGCCATCGGAAGCCACTAGAAGACAAACACGGACTATAATAAGCCTATCTATATTTTAATGTGATTTGAAAGTATTTATTGCATTCTCAGTTGCAGTGGTAAAAGAAATGGTTGCATAAGTCGGAGAGTGCAGTATCTGATGCCGGCTGGTGGCTCTGCGTGTTGGAGCTTGTTCAGGAGGACTGGAAATGTTTACTGTAAGCTTTGATGTGTTCATTGGTCTGCCCCGCTCAACAAGAATTTCTATTTGGAGATATTAAAGGTTACACAAAATTGACTCTTGTGGGCTTTAAGCCGTGTTATGTTGTTACCTCATCAAAAACTTGGCTGGAGTTGTATTTTGTTTAATTCATATTCTGTCTATATCTCCGAAGCCCATAATGCTCCGTTCCACCTTGTGATGTCATGAAGTGGTAGTTTTCAAGTTAACATTTGTGTTGTGAAATTGTAAAATTCAGGGCTGAATTCATCCACATGTTTCTAGTTAAGATGTATGGAATAAAAAAAATGGAGGAGAGCACTGTATTACCACATGACATCACAAGGTGGAACAGCGTGTTTTCCCATTTGAGAGAGGACCTCGGGAAAAAAATATTTGGAGGATTTGTGTTTTAAACATGTGTGAATAAAACTAAATAAAACTCCAGGTATTTGTGATGAGGAAACATTATAACATTATAGTGTAACCTGGGCCCTTTAAGATGATGATTGTTTTAGAAGTAACAACTTAAAACATTCTATACTCAAAACATTTTACTTTGCATTTATTATTTTTTATTTTATTTTGAAAGTCAGGTTCATAAAGCTGAATACGTACTATAGGAATTCAATGACAATGTTTTAAGCATTTCAGAATATTGATGTTACTATACATAAAATTATGTTTCATGATATTTCTTCTCCAGAAAGAAGTCTCACACACTGTCTGTCTTGCAGCATCAGTCATTTCATCAGCAGACAGTTTCTTCTTCTCTTGTTTTTCTGTTGTTAAATGATGTTTCTTCTCAAATGTGTTGAAAATGATTGATCTTTTATTTACAGAGCCCTTTACAACACTCTTTAACACACAAGGCTGGCTTAGTTGTCTTAGTCCTGCTGTAGACTACTTCAGCTTTGTTTGGTCCTGGTAAATCGCATCTGGTTTAAATCTGGAGGCACTCAGAAGGCCAACTATTTTCTAAGGTGGAAGGTGTTATGGAAAGTTTGAGAAGCAGTGGGCTGATATGGATTGTTACTCCCCCAGTATGGCTTTAAACTTATCTATCTTGCATTATCTTGCATTTATTCAGTAACAGATTTTTTATTGCTCAAAAATACCTCATACAGTCTCCTCTCCACAGATCTGAACTGTAGCTTGGCCTAACGACTCTACTTGTCTCTGTGAATATAGATCAGTTTAAAGATCCTATATTACACAAAATTGAGTCTTGTGAGCTTTTAGCCATGTTAGAATGTTGTTACTTCATCAGAAACATACCTGGAGTTGTGTTTGCTAAAATATATTATAATAACTAAGAGCAAAAAAAATAATAAATAAACTGGCATTCTCACTGTGGGCGGGTTGCCCTTCCACAGAACTGACCCGTAACTTGGTCTGGTTTGGTCTCCATGAAGATAGATTTAATACCACACTGTGAAACATTCCAGACAAAGTAATAACATCTCTATGGAGGAAAGCATCTGACTGACCCTCCACAGGAAAGTTACACGATGCAGCTTTAATTGGCCCAGCCGTTGTGGATTTACCAAAATTGCAGAATCAGAGTCAGAGCCGTACCACCACGCCTAAGCCTCCTCAGCCTACCATTATGTCAGTGCAGTGAGACACAGGCTGGTTTGTGCTGGGGCCTGAATGACGACATCTCCTGAGTCACGCTTTGTGTTTTTTATGACTAATGCTCAAACTGCTCGTGTGCTGCTTTTGGCTTGTACCATCAAGTATTATCCAGCGTCACTGAGTTAACAATATTTAGAGTAACTTATACTTCCTGTGCTTTAGGTCTTGGTTCTCGGTTATAAACATAAACAATAGAAAGCTCTTTGTTTATGGCGATAAGTAGTTGATAGATTAATGTTTAAATAGTAAAATTATTCTCACCGTCATAATGTTTTATGGCTGTGTTCTGTTTCATTTCACTACTGCCGTTATCATACCACTGACATGCCAAAAGTGCATTTAAGTGCAAATTTTGACATTGTTTTACAGTTTAAACATGGTATGGAGTTGTAATACTAAAATTTCAACATAGGTTTCGATACTAAGGGAAAGACTTGATACTCAATACCAATTTCAGCACCACAATGAAAATAGAAATATTTTGTTAAACAATAAACAATGTTTTAATTCTAACTTAAATAAAGTTATTATAAAGTTAATTCCTTTTAATATTACCAAATGGTCTTGTACTATTTTTGGAAAGGAAAGATCCAACTTCATCCTATTTAATGTTTTCTTTCAGTATCAACTATTGATCACCCTAATTAAAAGTTTCTTTGTGTATCGAGTTTTACATAATTATCTTATCTAAAATACAGCCAATGCCATGTCCATTTGTCCATTTAGATTAGACAAAATCCTGTCATACTCACATTTCTGTGTTTAAATATGTCTTGTCTTATTTCTTAGGTCTGCCCTGCTCTGCCGGGGTTCAGCTGCTAAGCATGCGGCCTAAAGCCCCGCCCACAACCAGTAGCCTTAACTTGGTGACCTCTGAGGAGACAGGTCAAAGGTCAGACGAACAAGACGGAATCACAATGGCTGAACTTGTGGAAAGTCTGGATGCAGGAGAGCTGGACATTGGAGATGGGGAGGAGATAGACTATGATGGAAACATTTTAGGTATTGTTTTTTTTACTTAGTGTTCATTTTTTTATTACAGTAAAAAACATTATTTTATTACATGATTTATACTCACTGCAGTAACCAATAAATATTTATTTATTGCAGTTCATATTTTTTTTAACAATATATAACATTTAGAATACTTTTTGGGGGATAATTCTACTTTAGGCATTGATTTCAGTAGTTTAATTTATTATTATCTATATTTACTTACTTCAGCAATATATCACATTTCAAAATTTGTTATCGTGACAGGCCTAAAACTACAAACATTTCTGTTAAGTCCGAAATCCGCTGCTCACATGCTTAAGCTGACATAATATTGGCAGAAAAAACTGAATTAATTGAGTCATTTATTTTGATTAATTGCCCAGCCCTAATAACAAATATCTTCAAGGAATAGCAAACGAATTTTGACACCTCAAGTTTGCTTTAAAATCGCTTTCTGTTGGTCATAGTTGGCCTGCGCTTCACTTGAAAATTGAAAGAAGATGTCTGCATGCCCATTTCCTTCATAAAATATTGGTCAAGTGAATCAAGCTCAGCATTTGACCTCAACACCAAAGCATATTACACAATTTCTCCATGTGGGCTTCCAGTACTTTCAAAAAGAAGCATCCTACTCACTTCTTTGCAGCCAAATCAACTCCTACATTAGCCAGTGTTTAAACGGAGTGCCCTAACTCTATTATTCTGTGTTTTATTTTACCAGGGGACTGTCGGATACCCTTTTCAGCCATTTATGCCCTAGTGGGTTTCAAAGAGGCCAATGCCAAAGTGTACATGCCCGCTGTGCCCATCACGGCGCGCATCCTGGAGGTGGAGAGGTTCACTGCAGCTCAGGATCGCTTCAACCTCTCCAACCACAGGAGCGTCAACAAGGTATACAATATTTTAGATGGATTTTTGTATTATTATTGCATAGCTGTGGCAGGGATTATATCAATTAATTTTATTTTCTATCTAATCATTTATTTCAGCGTGAGGATCATATTCAGTACATGGTATTAAAGGGCCCATTTTAAGGTGTTTTCTGATTTATGTTCTGATGTTATTTCCACATCACAAACATACCTGGAGCTGTGTTTTGTTTCATTCACTCATGTTTAACACAGCAAAACACTCTGTTCGACCTTTTGATGTCATGTTGTAATACAGGAAGTGTTCCACTGTGTTTTTAAACTCCGAATGCCCATGTCTACTGGACTAAAGGTAACAGGTTGCTGGTCAACCTGAAACTTCATGACATCAAGTGAAACAGACCATTTTGAGCTTTGGAGATGTAGACAGACTAATCATTACTTAAACATGTGAATCTGGTTCAGGTATATTTTGATGAGATAACAGCATGGTAACATGAATAAAAACCCACAAGAGTCAGTTTTATGTAATATAGGACATTTAATTAATGTGCACCTAATATAGTACTAAATGGCAAACCAGAAGTTGCCGTGTAGTGAAATCAGTTATGATTATGGGAAACTTTTTTCTCTGCTTTTTACTAGTTATTTGTTAACAACTGAAATGATTTTCTGGTCCTGAAAGTACAGCTACAGAAAAAGTTCCAAGTTAATCTTACATGCAAATGCCTTAGGAATGGGTCATCAATATATAAGATTTATAAATATAATTTATAATGTTAAGTTAATGACTAATACTTGAACACATTAATGAATCAGAGTAAATATGTGTGAATGAGAAGCTTTCTACCATGTGATAATGTTGTTCCCTCATCAAAAACTTGCCTGAAGAGGTTTTAGATTTCATCCATGCATGTGAGTAATTTAGCGATCTCTCTTGGGCCCTATTCAACTCCTTCTTACAGTTAGCTGTACAGTCCTATCCAAAGCTCAACCCACAAGCCAACGTCACCCATGCTCCCACATGGCAATTCTCCATAAATATAAACCTGATGCAATGTGCAGTAGTTTCATTAGCAAAATGCACGCCGATTGTATTGTTTTTGGTGAATATAGCATTTTCCAAACAACGAAAGGTAATATTGTAATCTAAATATATTATTTGTTGTTGGCAATTATACCCCATAGATGTATAATACCCCCTCTTCAAGTTACGGTATTTCTGCCTATCCTTCCCAAAATGCTTTATGTTTTCACCACACACCCACAATTTCAGCTGCTTTCATAATGTCCAGCTGACCATTGCTGTTTTGTTATGTTTCAGTCTTTACCAGCTGTGTTTAAAATTGAGCTGAAACATGGAGAGTTCACCTGGGTCGTGAAGAGGAAAGAGAAACACTTTATGGAACTGCACCGAGAACTCAGGACCTACAAGACTTTTATGAGGATCCCTCTGCCCACCAGAAGGTACTAATATTACAGATATGTATACATATATAATATATGTAACCAAAATATGACCTTTTAATATAGTTTTTGAATTGTCTGGATCTATATTAGATCTATTATAGAACAACATAGTCATATAAACACTATAACTTAGTGTTAAAAATTACATTAAAGTCCAACCTTTTTCTTAGTGCCAAATTGAGTTTGAATTTTTATTTTCATAACAACATGTCTTTTTCGTAAAAACTGATTTTTGTGTACCATAAAATAAAATGATGTGTTAATGATATTTTAATCAACCATCACAGTTCAGAGGTGTTATCACTCAGCCAAGCCACAATAAAGTATTCCTAGAGTTCCATTACTTTAGTCATAAAGAGCTGAACTGGAGACACTCCCTTTTAAACTGTTTTATTGTACATCATCATCATTATCATTGTGCTCATCAATTTTCCATATCATTTTTCCAATCTGTAATCTGACCTTTGTAACTTCACTTGACCAACTTTCTCAGGCAATTGTTTTTAAACATTATCTATTGATGAAACATACTTTTTATAAATATATAAATTATTATAATTACTGTCCACATATTAAAGGCTCTATATTACTAAATAATGACTCTTGTGAGCTTTAAGCAATGTTAAAATGTTGGAGTTATGTTTTGTTTCATAGACACATGTTTGAGTAACCCTTTATAATTAGTCTGTCAACTTCTCCAAAGCTCAAATGCTTTGTTCCACCTTGTGATGTCATGAAGATGTTAAAGTTAAGTTAAGCTACCTTTTACATTTTGTTCAGTAGAGATCGAAAATTCCAGGTTCCAGGCTAAAAGTATTCAAATGATTTTAGTGAAAGTGTATAGAGTTTAAAAACACAGTGGAACACTTCCTGTTTTACCACATGACATCACAAGGTGGGACAGAGTGTTTTCTGTTTGAGATGACAACTAAATATACAGAGTTTGTGTGAATGAAACAAAACAAAACTCTAGGTATGTTTTTGATGACTAAAAAACATTATAACATAGATAAAAAATCACATAATATACGCCATTTAAACTAAGCATTTTCTGTCCTTTTGTTGGACTTCCCATTAACAACAAAAATAAGTTTTTTGGGGGGGTTTTATATTGGTCCCTTGTTATTTCATGCTCCCAAAACATTTAATTAAAAACTGCTCATTTGTCCATTGCTTCCAGCCATTTTGTCGATAACAACATTTCACTGCCAATGTTTATTAAGTATTTGCCTGCTCCCCTTTAATAAAATGCTTCCTGTTTATCTTTTAATTGGACCTGTGCCTTTGTTTTGCAGCCACACGGTGAGGAGGAGGACGGTGAGGAAGAGTGAGGTGAGAGAGATGCCCGTCCTGCCCAAAGGAAAAGGAGACGAGCTGGTGCGCGATGAACAGGTCTCCAGCAGAAGGGTAATTATCACACTAATTCTTATTTACCATAACACTTTAACATGCCATTGCCATCTTGTGCTCAAAACTGTTCTCAGAGCTACATATGTGCATGTCTGGATTTGTATAATAAAGATTTATAAAGAAATAGTGGTCTACATGGTGTATTGTTTCTGCAGAGGCAATTAGAGGACTATTTGAACAAGCTGCTGAAGATGGCAATGTATCGCAAATACCACCATACTGTGAGTAATCCTACTAATACTACATGCTATATAACTTCCCCTTAGAAGTACATGTTTATACTATGTTTTAAGTCTGTGCAATTAATCAACTTTTAATCAGAAGTACAAAATGGTTGCCCAGGACCTAGAATACACACTTCTCCAATACTTTATGAAGATGCAAATCTGGTCACTGTTTAATCTTCCAAAGTGCAGATGGGCATGATTAAAGGGTAGATTAGCCAATCAGAGACACGCATGTTCTGTCCGAAACAAATATGACTGTGAGAGATAAAGATAGAGAGAGATAGGGAGCGATAGAGAGAGAAAGAGCAAATTTTTTTCTTTGCAATTTAACCGGAGTTCAGGTAAACAGAACTGGAAAGGGCTCACTCTTACTCCTCTCTGGTGTTTTAGTTGGTGATGAAATGGGTCATTCCCTCTGGAGGGTTTCCTCTAGAATTTATTCTCCAGTGTGCTCCTTCATTTCACATGTGTCACTAAAATAAACAAATCTGATTGCACAGCTTGTTTGACCAGACTGATTTCTATAAAAATACAGAGAGATATTAGTATGAACTGCGCACAAAACTGTGTATTTGAGGAAAACGGCAACATCAATGAATTTCTGTTCTGAATTATGTGTCTTCAAAATTTGGAGAATAGATACTGATCTGCAGTGACTGAAAAGCTGTCAGTTTTTCCTCTATGGGTAAATTTTTGATACTACTCAAATAACTATTTGAACTAATTATGATTTCAAATATAACCTAAATTATTGTTAATCTTTTTCCATAATTGAGCAGCCCTACGTTTCTCTAAAACAATTATTAATCATTCCATATTAGCTTCTGTACATAATAACATAATAACATTATGTCATAGATTTACTGTGTAATCCACTGATTTAAGTGTAAACACAAGACAAACTGTACTCCTTTTGTGGGAGGCTGACATAGTTAAATCACTATTTACTCAGCGCTGTCTCTGTTTAATGTTGAAACATATTTACAACATTGAGCGTCTTGTAAACTCCAGGAGGAAAAGCAGACTCAGGAGTGCTGTCCAGATTTAAACCAGAAGTAATTTTGGACCTAAAATGTGAAGGCATCTGACTATATTACATTGAATTATGTAAAGTACGGCTGTGCAACATGAGTGAAAATGTGATATAAAATGTGATATTCAATATTTTTTATTTCTGCCATATTTGTACAGAATAACACAAATGTACATGACAGATTTTTGTTGCCTAGTGTGTGATTTATAAGTTTAGAGATTCAGTAAGAGAATCATGGCTAAAACCTGACATTAAAAAAAATAAATAAAAAAGTAATCTTATAGGTGCACTGTGGAACTTTCCAGGTAGAGGGTGCGACACTATGGAGATTCTTTTTTTAGCCTTGAATTTTTCACAGTATGGTATTAAATTTAAATCTGTTTCCAAGGAGAAAAGCACCAAGCCAAATTACAGGTCCAATTTGTGGAAAGATGGGCTTACAGTAGGGTGCATTTTCTTTTATTGTAAAAACACATAGTTAAAATAACAAGCAAGTTTAATGCCATACTATGGTACATTCCAAAGAAAACAGCCTCGCTACCGTATCTCCATGGACACAACCAGGTGCTGGACTCTTACTAGAAAAATTACATAGTATACCTTTTAACCAATATCACTATTTCAAGAACTGTGATGTTGTGATAATTATACAGTATTTATAAATATATGAGCGGCTAATTAGAAAATGAGAACTATTCTGCTCAGTTAAAAATATTGCAGATTTATTTGTGACTTTAATGTGTAGAAAACCTTATAAAGCACCGTTACCCACTACACAACAACAGCCCTCCTTAAAATACCACAGAGTTGCCAAGGCCACATATTAAATTGCACATGAATTAATAGATACATTTATTTTTATGAGCTGATAAATGTCTTCTCAAATACACTGAGTTAAATCTTTTAAACCTGTTGTGTGGTGTGAATACAGTGTGTGTGATCCTGTGTATTCTCAGATGGAGTTTATAGATGTGAGCCAGCTGTCTTTCATTCACGACTTGGGACCTAAAGGACTGTAAGTATTTTCACTTGAGTTTTGTTTTGAATTCTCTCCTCTAACCAGCTGTGCAAACATTGTAAGCTCTTAGGAATATTTATTTTAAGTTGCAAAATATTTAATTTTTTTTCCCTGTGTGTCCAGGGAGGGGATGATTTACAAGCGGTCAGGAGGACATCGCATACCGGGCATGAACTGCTGTGGTCATACTCAGGCCTGCTACCGCTGGTCCAAACGGTAATTATATTTTAGTGACACAAGTAAAAATGTAGAAAGAAAATGTCTGATGCTATGGGACTACTGAGGTGAAGAACTGGGAGAGACATTCAGAATCTCAAAATGCTGACATCAGTTACTTAAAGGTACACTGTGTAACTTTCTGGTGGAGGGTCCGCCACCTGCTTTTCTTCATGCAAATGTTATTGCTTTGTCTAGAATGTCCAACAGTATGGCATTAAACTAATCTATTTCCATGGAGACAAGCCTGCAATACCTCCAGGCCAAGTTACAGGTCAGATCTGTGAAGAAGTGAGCTTGTTCATTGTAGGAATGCATGTTTTCTGTAACATATTTGAGCAGTAAAACACCTGTAACTGAATAAATGCAACATCCATGAGTTTAATGCCATACCGTGAAAACTTTCAGGCAAAGCAATTATATTTCCATGGAAACGGGTCTGTGACTGAGTTCCTACCAGAAAAGTTACACAGTGCACCTTTAAAGGAGCTATAGCTGTTTTTTACTTCCTCACTTTCCCTTATGCATTCCGTCATTGTAATTATTCACCACAATGAGTTTACAGGCACTTTTCCCAACCTTCAGAGACTAGAGTGGAACTTTGTTGTCATGGTAAAGCATGCAAATGTGCAGTTCCTGATTATCAAACAATAAAACGCCTTAATTAAATGCAGACCGTATGGAGCTGACTGCTCAAATATGTGGGGAAAAAATGTGGGAGCTTTTAATATTTGTTACCACATCTTTATTATTGCTGCCAGTTTTGCTTCTCCTACAGCTACTGCTCTGCTTCCTGCACTTCCTGTACTGTGCTTCCTTAACATGCAGTCAATGCCTTCACAGTGCCAACAATGTATCATAAAAACTACTGAGAATTCTTAGTAAGGTTAATATTTTTGGCATAATGTTAAATGGAGGAAATTTGAGTATTTATTGAGGCCCAAAGGAATTTGATTCAACAACAAAGGGCAAATAAAGGTGCTATAGTGACGAACTACAGACCACTTTGACATGTTTAGTCTTGTCTTTATTATGTTTATATTTCAGAATTTATTTTCGATAGCTGTCACGGTCTTATATTATATTGTTTTTTTAGCTGTTCAAAAATATGTGCAACACTTTGGACCATAAAGATGACTTTATTATTATAACATTTAACATAGTAACATATGGACAATACAATTCTTTTATCTCATTCATTTTTAAAGGTCCTATATTATACCCCATATCCCCCAGTCCACCCCCTCCCCGGAGAGAGGGCTGAAATGATTCTAGTTAAGGTGTATGGAGTTTAAAAACACAGTGGAGCAAACTGTATTACCACATGACAACACAACGTGGAGTGTTTTCAGTTTCAGTCATCCTAAATATGCAGGATTTGTGTTTTAAACATGTGTCAATGAAACAAAACACAACTCCATGTATGTATGTATGTGAGAAACAACATTAAAACATAGATCAGAAAATAGCACAATATGGGCCCTTTAACTCTCTGGTTGAAATGGTGGTTTCAGATAATGCTTCAATTATGCTGTAGTACGTGTCCTAGTTCTCCCAGCCAAGTTCTTATGTGAGCTGTTGTTTTGTTGTTTATCCAAAGACAACATGCAGAGTCCCACACTGCTCACTGTGCCATCCACCTACCTCCCTGTGATCGGACTCTTCCTACACGCTCCCCTTCAAAACAATACAGCATGGTCCATCTGAGCAAACATTCGAAAGTCATAAAAGGACATCCTGTGGTTTAAAAAGTGGTGTGAAAATGCTATAGGTGATAAATGCTATAATAAATTAGTTGTTTATTGCTAAAATGTTTATGTAGAGAGTGCTAAATGGCTTGTTTTGTATGAATCCAAACCATAATTATATTGTCTTTATACAGACTGTGTTATTAGTTTTTAGACATATGTGACTGAGTGAGTGTGGCGTCACCCATAGTGTGCGGCTCCAGTCAAATGAAGCTCATCTTGGCAAGCAGTTATAGGGGTAAATTTGGTGCCAAGTTCCATGTTTACAACTCTGAACGCGAGTATAATAGCAACCAAAGAGCCAATCAAGAGCAAGGCTATTGAAGGTAATACCCCTTCTGCCCGCAGGTTTAAACCTGTTGCTGCTCATTGGTCTGTTGTTGATGTTCATATTTTGATTTGTGGACAAAATAGCAAAATATAAACACCAGTATAATAATAGAGGGGGTTAATATGAACATTTTAAGACCATAATCACGAAGCTCACAACAGCAGTAAAATGACTAGAAGCCAGAGTCAATGGAGCCAAAATATGCCCATATTTGGAACAGGTAGCATGTTAGCTATGCCCATTTCTATATACAGTCTATGGTACTAACTGTGATTAATTTAGTAGCAAAATCTGTAGTAGTGTAGCAATTATAGTTAAAGGTGCAATATGTAACTTTTTTGTCCACCACCAACTTCACCCCATGAGTGAGTTACTGCTTTAAATGGACAATATGTTACACACTGAAACTGAATAAATCTAAGATGAGTTTAATGCCTTACCGTGGATTCCCAACAAAGAAATAACATTTCCAGGGAGACAAACAATCTTTAATCTTGATTTCATTTGTTTTTGTGGTGCCTTTTTTTTCTTCAGTATTGTAAAGAGTAACCTTAGTGTTTACTTTGCAGGTGGTTGGTGGTGAAGGACTCCTTTCTGTTGTACATGAAGCCAGACTCTGGGGCCATCTCCTTTGTGCTTCTTTTAGACAAAGAGTTCAGCATCAAAATGGACTCCAAAGACACAGAGACCAAACATGGCGTCCGCGTTGACAGCCTCTCAAGGTGAAAATACTGTCCCTGCATAGATCTGTCACAGTAACACATTTTGAAGTATGATATTTTGCATACACAATACACACAATAAAATTTAAACCACTTTTACCATTTGTAATTTATTTGAGCAAATTTTGAAGTACAGTTGCTACAGAAAAACATCACAATACACAATTATATTGAAACTACTTTTACCTCTGACACAACAATCCAGCAAGCGGGATGATACCAGTAAAGCTTTTTTCTAAGTGAACCATATTGAAAAAAAAATGTGTCCAGCAGTAAATAAATGCCACTATTACACAGTTTAGTAGTTTCAGTTTGTATAATGTGTCAGTTAATTATTCAACCCACTCCAGCTCACATGTTTCTGATAGGCTTAGTACTACAAAAATTGTGCAAATGAACACACGATAATTCACTAGCAAGGACCACGCCACAACACTGATATAAAATAAATATATTTATTGATGATATGGATAGATGTGGTGGCTGGGTAGAGACTCAGCAGCACTGAATATAGGTATTGAAAACAATCTAATACTTGCACCTGTTTCCTCATTTTGTATCAGTTAAAATACAAATATTACTCATACTTACGTATTTTAAAAACTGTTTATGCCTTTATTTGTCAGGACTTTGGTGTTTAAGTGCATCAGCTTCAGACACGCGCGCTGGTGGGGGCAGAGCATCGAAAACTTTGTCAGAAATCACGGAAGAGCGTTTCTCCGAGATCATCGATTCAGCTCTTTTGCACAAGAACAAGAAAACATCCCAGCCAAATGGTAACTATCAAAAACCACTGGTGATCATTAGTTGAGCTTTCAGATGCTGTTGTTGTGTCCTTGGGCAAGACTCTTAATCCACCTCCTACAGACATTTAGAAAAAATTAAAATATTAGGAGTTCAATGACATTGCGGCGGCTAATCGTAGTAACGTAGTAACTCATATCCATAACGCGGTTGTTTAAGTCCAAAAAGGAAGTGAAATGTTTTAATAACTTAACAGTTTAAAATGTTTCAGAAGTAGAAATTAAACAAAATAATAGGTCTTAAGGACATTAGTTACCACAAAGCTGATTAACCCTGAGCAAACTTTTGAACTTTTAATGGGAAAGTCTATGAGTAAAAATAAATGAGAAATTCTGTTCTGGAATCGTGGATTGGGTGGTCACTGTTGTAAATGTGAGCTGTGATGGCTCTGGTTCTTCTCATCAAACAGGTGGTCTTCATGTGAAAAAATTGCTTTGTTTTACATTGCATCAGTCACTATAGAAGTATGTATTGTGGACATTGTGTTTTTTGGCTTCTTTACAGTCATTCAGATCTCATTTTGCACCTCTCCCCCTCACCTGGCACATCCGGGTTTATTGTTGAAATCGTCTGTGTGCTGTACTGTACTGTATTATGTTACAGCCGGTTAAACTACTTCTTCCGATAAAAAAGAAAAGGGAAAAAATGGGAAAAAAATTAAAACCTGGAAATGCAAAACTAGTTCTGCTGCTGTCTAATTGGATTATAGCTAGAGAACCAAGTTACAAAAAATCGAAAATGAAATGTTGTTATTTTTATTTCTATACATTCATACTAAAATGGATAAAATTTAAGAAAATGATCTGAACATTTACTTCATACAGTATTTGAGATATACAGGTCACGTTTATCAAAAGAAAACTCCAGACACATAACAGCATAACGAGTACTGTAGCAGACATTGCACAAACAATACTAGTTTTCTTTTAGTTTTTAAGGTGCACTATGTAACTTTTTTGGTGACTGCTATATAGTGTAATATTACAGGTAAAACATTAAACATTTCCATTGTGACAAGCTCATGTTGGAACCTGTACCAGAAAAGTTAAACAGTGCACCTTTTAGGAGAAGAAAGTGCATTCAAGGTCACAAAACAAATAGCTCTGTCTTTCAATGAGGGCTTTGTGGAGAATTATGGCTCAGCCTGAAGATCCAGATATGTGACCTAACTGCTTTAGTTACTTTTACTCCAGGTTAATACTATTGTTCAGGTCACAATAAAGTCATTGTCCCTTCTCTGCAGGTATGTCAATGGGAAAACTTATATGGAGGACGTGGCAGACGCTTTGGAGGAGGCAAAGGAGGAGATTTTTATCACAGACTGGTGGTGAGTTTGATCACTGCATGAGAATGAGAAGCTTGGTATTCTACAGGTTATGATCAGTTTTAAGGTTGCTTTTGTATCTTTTTAAATGAAAATATGACAATAGCAACAGACACTCTTGCCATGTACTTTTGGCACTAAAATTACAAATTTACAAATCACTTTATCCTTGATTTGTTTTCTGTGCTAAATATATCACATTTTTTTAATAGTTTTTATTTGAGAATCAGTTAGAAAAGCAGATAAAGGCACATCCAGTTCACAATAATTATTACCGAAAAGAAATCAAATGTGATCAACAGTAATATGCTATCCATAAGATGAGTTCATGATGCTCAAAAGGACTAGAAAGAAATATCCAGAATGACCTTATTTAAAAACTGTTATGATAGAAAAAAAAAATACAACAACACAATTACAGAGTATAGGAGCGTAGGACATAGCTAACCTGAATTTTGCTGATGGTTGCAGACAGTTGTATTGATGCATGTCTGAAAAACAGCTGACTCTTTAGCGCCTTAACCCAACCGTGCCACTTTACTATAAGTCCGTCCTCTTTACCAAACCAAACAAGCCCTATCAGAGCTCCTATTACCACCCCATTGACAAAGGCTCAAAGCACACGCACAAAAGAAGGACATGAAATACTCCTCCCTCTCTGTTATTACTCTGTGCTTTTCTATGGTCTGAGATGGCAGTGTATGGACTCTCTTTTAAGTTTTCATTTACATCAGAAGGGTTGAGTTTCTCCCATGAGCTCTATTGCATGTTTTATGAAGCATATGTCATAAAGTAAAGTGAAAAGCAATGGAGGAAGAAATCAGTGGGCTTGATTTGGTAAACAATGTAAATATAAATAAATAAATGTAATGGAGCAAATTGCTAAGAAAATGTTTTTGTTTTTATTTCATTATTATGTTTGTGTTGGCCATTTTCGCTTCTCAACTTTGCCTGTTAACAACCTAACTGTCTGATTTTCATTTAGTTTCAAGGAAGACCTCTTTTTGTAGACCAAGGAAAAAATGAAAAGTTTATCTTTAGTTAATCTAGTTAATCCTTTTTTTTTTTTTTTTTTTTTTTAAACAGAGTATGTCAATTAAATAATTCTATGTAAATCGACAGTAAAATAACTTATGACAAATATATTAGACTGAGTTCACAATTAAATGATATATGATGTATTTCGGTGGTTTAGTGTTGTATTTGATCTTGTATTTGACATAGGATTTAATCTGCAATTTTGTTTGTAATCTTGTAAGAAATATTCCTCTCCTTATTGGAGCTTAGGCAGAACATATTTGCTTAAAGCAGCACTATGTAACTTTTAGTTAAAAAATTTACTATTGTGAAACATGTTTTTTTCTCTTTATTGTACGGGCAAAAAGTGTCCTTACTGTGAGCAGGCTTGCATTTCTACAAACTTGACTCTTATTTGACCTGGAGAATGACTTCCTCCTGTTTGTTTCCATGGAAATGTTTTTCCTTTGGCTAGACTTTTCCACAGTATATATGGACAGGAACCTATCTGGAACCTATCTATCGCAATGGAGAATGTTCAGGAGTATGGTTTTAACTATTTCCATGGAATCATGCAGGTGACATGCCACCTCCAGAAAGTTCCTTGCTGAACCTTTTAGAGCCATTATAATTTCCGGTCTCTCTCAGCCAAATGTGTGACCACGGAAGTTGGAGGAAGTCCAAGTGTCACAGATGTGTGACCACTAAATTCAGAAGTCCGGAAGTGTAATAGGCTGTAATCACAGGCTCATAGTCTTAACCAATCACAGGAGAGAGTCTGTAACATGAGCGAGCTAAGGCATGGGAGAAATGAGGGACCTGTGAGACTGCAGCTATTTATCAAGTCTGCCATTCTATATATGGGATACAATATACACTATCAGCACCAACAAATTGGACTCACCCTCTCATTCTGTGATTTTTCTATATGTTTACATCAAATATATGAAGTAAGATGTATGGAATTATGTAAGAAAAAAAAGTGAAATAACTCTAAATACGATAAAAAAAATATTATTTAACTTTTTTCTTTACTAAATACTTCCATGTATCTTACTTCATATATTTAATGTCTTCCCCATGTATATAAAATGCAGAAAGTAGTAAGAAAAAACAAAAAACAAAACTCTGAATAAAAACTGAATAAGTTAGTGTGCCCAAGCTTTTGACTGGTAGCATATATGTAAGTGTAAAAAAAATTACTACGTCGGTTCACCACTGATTAATAATTATAATGGCATTTTTGTGTTTTGTGTGGTAGGTTAAGTCCAGAAATCTTCCTTAAAAGACCAGTGGTGGAAGGCAACAAGTGGAGACTTGACTGTATCCTGAAACGCAAAGCAGTAAGAAATACTTTTGCCATACTTGAAAAATATTTGTAATTTAAAGGTCCTGTATTAGGCAAAATTGACTTTTGTGAGCGGTAAGTCATGTTAGAAAATTGTTACCTCATCAAATACTTGGAGTTGTGCTTTGTTTTATTTACATGTTCGAGCAATTCTTTATTATTAATCTGTCTACAGCTCCAAAGCTCAAAATCTTCTCATCCACCTTGTGATGTTATTAAGTGGTAGTTTTCAAGTTATCAGCTAACTTTTACCTTTAATTAGTAGAGATTCACACTTCCAGGGCTGAAATTATCCAGTGGATTGTAGTAAAGGTGTATGTAGTTTAAAAAGACAGTGGAGCACTTCCTATATCACCACATGACATCATAAATTGGAACGGAGCATTTTCAGTTTGAGAGAAGAACTCATCCTAAATATGTCGGGTTTGTGGGTTTGTGTGAATGAAACAAACCACAACTCCGGGTATGTCTGTGATGAGGAAACAACATTATAACATAGATCAGAAAATAGCGTAACATGGACTCTTCAAATCAAAGCGATAAATTAACAAAATGTAGCTAGTAACACAACTGCTCACTTTTGAGATTTGAGTTATTTTCTCACATTTTTATTCAGAATTTGTCATTCTTTTTTTTAAGCTTCCCACTTACATGAGTCATAATTACTGCTCTACTAAAGTCATATTAATGTGAATGTTTTTTTGTGATTCCGTAGCAACAGGGCGTGCGTATCTTTGTGATGTTGTACAAAGAAGTGGAGCTCGCTTTGGGAATCAACTCTGGGTACAGCAAAAGGACCCTCATGCACCTTCATCCTAACATCAAGGTACAGACGGGATTATAATGTATCACACATACAAAAAAACATATTTATTTGATTTATTCTACAATATTTTACAGTAACACAAGAATGAGTAATTAAAAGAACAGTAATTACTTATTCACCCATAAATTCCTACTGAACGTTTTAATTGCTGTGAAATGCAAATTACCCTTGAGTATAAAACTGTTGTAGTAAAATATGTCCTTATAAAATACAAATGATATATAATGTTGCATAAATGGCTTTCAACTTGTGGAATAAGTGGAATTTACAACTTAAAATGTAAAAAATTTAAGTATGTGTAAAATGTGTACATTTCAAATTTGGTAAACAACTTTCAATATTTAGGATTATTAAAAATTTGGAATAAGCAATATTGAACAAAGGCATTACTGTAGCCTTTTTGGCTCTATGCAACAACTGAAATAGTTGCATAAAAAATAAAACTGTACATTAATATTGTATGACTTGTTTTGTGTTTTATTTATACCATGGAGTTTAGTACAACTTAAACGTGCAGTAAAATGGCGCTAACTGAACAGTGACTATGTGTTAGATGTATAAACTGTTAAACCATTCTGATACAGTCTTGCCCATTTTTAATACTATTAGTACTTTGCATGGACGTCACACTGGTGTTGTTCTACATGTGTTTCTAATGGCGGAATGTTTAGGAGTTACCATGGGGACACAATGTACTTTTTAGCAAACACTTCAAAACGTTTTAAGGCTTTTAACTCAAGAAAAAAATACAAAATGGAAAAATGAATGAAAAAAAATTTAACTGTACATTTTCAGGAGCCTGTGATCAATACAAAATTTGATTTTCAACAGAAATATTCCATTCCAGCTAAGTCAGTTCTTCCTGGTGAGATTATGTTAAAATAAGGCTCATATTAAATCTAACTTGAGTAACGGAGCTTCAGACAGAGCCACACTTCCAGTTCTGGCTCTTTAAAGTATTAACAGTAAGCTTGGTATTGAGTATTGCATCTGTTGTTGTACAGGTGATGCGTCACCCAGACCACGTCTCCTCCTCCGTGTACCTGTGGGCCCATCACGAGAAGATCGTGGTCATCGATCAGTCCGTGGCGTTTGTGGGAGGGATCGATTTGGCGTACGGTCGCTGGGACGACAGGGAGCATCGACTCACTGATGTGGGGAGTGTGACCAGATCTGTGGTACAAGAGCAGGTCTGACCCCCTCACTGAATACAGCATGTACTATACTACAGCCTATACTGCAAAAAATAAAACCTAACTTAAAGGTGCACTGGGTAACTTTTTGTTTAGGGATCTGTCGCCTGCTTGTTTTTATGGATATGTCATTGTTCTGCCTGGAATGTTCCACAGTATGGCACTGAACAGCTCTAACTTACATTTATTGAATTACAGGTGGTTTTATAGCTCAAAAATACACATTATGACTGTGAGCGGCGTTGCCTCTCCGCAGAGCTGACCAATACCTTGCACTGGGTTTGGTCTCCATGATGATAGAATGCTTTAATGCCACACTGTGAAATATTTCAGACAACGCAATTATGCCTCCATGGAGAAAAGCATTTGATGGACCCTCCACCAGAAAACTTACACAATCACAATCTTTCATCGACTAGGGACAAATAATAGTAAAATGTGTGACTTTAGGGTTAGACTTTAAAGTAAGAAAGTTGGACATTTATGATTTCTTGTGGGCAGTTGGTGTAGTTTTGGCTTTGGGATTTACGGACAATTTGACCCAAAATTGGATTTCCAAAAAGTAGGGAGAGGTGAAGAAATAAAACTCTTTTCACTTCCCCACAGTTGCCCAGGGGAAGGACCAAATAGTACTTCACTTTACAGAGCCAAGATGCATTTGTACTGAACCACAGAACACAACATCCCTACGCACCATTTTCAAACAACTTTAATTTTCTTATTTCTTTAGAGGTCATTATTAAAGTCTAATTTGTTAATTAATTTGTGTGTTGGTTTAGTTAAAAATGTAGTAACAAGATTAAATGTGCACTGGGTAACATTTCCAGTGGAAGTGGAAGTGTTATTGCTTTGTCTAGAATATTCCACAGTATAGATTAAACATATCTCTGACGAAGGAGACAAGCAGGTTACAGCACTACACTTTGCCATTATTCAGATCTGTGGAGAGGCGCTTCTGCTCACAGTTGAAATTATTGTATTTTTGAGCAATAGAAACACCTATATTCAATAAATGCTTGACCTATATGTTAATGTCATACTATGGAACATTTCAGGCAAAGCAATAACATCTCCATGGAGAAAAGTAGGTAGCAGACCCTCCACCAGAAAAGTTGCGTAGTGCACCTTTTAGATTTTGTATTAAAGGCCCAGAACCTGATCTTTATTGCCTTAAAAATGTGAAAAACTGAACTACGTGATTTTTTTAAATGTTTTGCAGTGATCCAAACATCTTGTTTATTCACTTAATTATGAGTTTATATTCACTTTTCATAACTTTCAGAGGCCAGAGCAGAGTTTGCCTTTATGGTAAAACTAACAGCAAGCATGCTAACGGCGCACTTCCTGATAATCTGGAAAAATAACACATATCTTTAGATTTAAACAGACCACAAGAGCTGCTTATACGCTATATATGCATTGTGCTAATTTCAGCTTCTTTTTTGTTGTTTTGTCCCAAGACTGGCTTCACTAATGCCCCTTCCACCAATGCCGCGCCCACAGAGGAGCTGGCCCCACAGAGTAACGGGCGTGGAAGCCCCCCTCCTGCCGATGTGGAGTTACCCAAACTGAAGGGCATCGGGCGCAGTCGAAAATCTCGCTTCAGTATCTACAAACACATCCACATCCACAGGCACACGGTGCAGCATGCAGACAGTGTGAGCAGCGTGGACAGCACAGGTAACACACTCCAACTGTACTCAATCAGTCCTGTTATGTCTTCTGGGGCAAAAGAAATGTCTCTTTTGTCTTTTTTGTCTACCGATATCAATAATAGGATCAAACTTTTGCAATCCAAGTTAGGTAGGTAGTTAGTTAGAATGTCGTTCAAATATGGCAAACATGTCCCAATTATAAAGAGTAGTTTCCCCCATATTTTCTCACACCCTTTAATTTACAAAGACATTAAAACATTTTCCTAAACAGAACCAAGAATATAATTTTACAATACAACACAATATAAAATCTGAGTTGAGGTCCAAATATCATGTGTATCTACTGAAAGAAGATTACGCTGCAAATTTCTTTCTTTTTTTTTTTTTTTTTTTTTGGTTTAACAAATTATGATAAGTACAGTGCAGTAGCGAGCAGTGCATTTCCAAAAATCAGCCTCTTCTTAACAATAATAATAAATATAGGGGTGTAATGATATCCAAGTCTCACCATATGATATCATCACGGTATGAACCTCACAGTACAATATTTATTGCGATATCATGAGAAAGCTCACGGTATGGTGGGGAGGCTCATAATTAGGTATGTAATAATATCCAAATCTCTCTTTATGATATTTTCATGACATACATCTCATGATACAATATTTATTGCAATATTTTATGGAGGTTAATATGCTTGACAAGACTTAATCCAAAAAAACTAAAACATAAAAGTGCTTAGAACTGTTATTTCTTGTTGTAGTCAACACTGAAATGGAGAAAAAGGATCATGGTCTATGTAGTTCCCTTTGTTTTTTTTGTTTAGTTTTTTTAGCTATTGTAGCATCATAACTCTTAATTTAAGCAAAGAGATTTGTAATTTGATATACTGTGATGGTCCATGATATTAACACAATATTTCAGTTATTTCTACATCCCTAATACATAATACATCAAACTCAGTGAATTCAAACAATGGATTGCAAATGATTGAATGGAGCCACATGTAAGATAGGATATAGAATTACAGTAAAAAGGATAATATTTGTTTGAGATGACATATGAAACATTATTACTCTACTTTTGTTTGTGTTTTCAAAGGGAGTGGTTCTGTGAAAAGCTTAAAGACCGGAGTCGGCGAGCTTCAAGGAAATACTCGCTTCTGGCATGGAAAAGACTACTGCAACTTTGTGTACAAGGACTGGATTCAGCTGGAGAAGCCTTTTGACGGTACAAAACTGAGACAAAACAACACCCACTGCACAGGCCCTGGTTCATAAAACAAGCAACAGACACTTCTAATTAAATGTGGTTATTTTTAAGTTGAAAACACACAACTTTTTGCAGCCAGAAATTGTGTTGAAAACGAAGCACAAACATTGGAGCTGACCTTGCATTGTTCATACTCTTAATGTTTTTTCTTATTGACTGTTTTTGTTGCCATAAATTTTTTATGGCTTATTACATCAGCGCAATGGGACACTTTCCTTTGACCTATTTACTGTCTTAAAGGGCCCATATTACACTATTTTCTGATCTATGTTATAATGTTGTAAGTGCTCCACTGTGTTTTGAAATTTCATACACCTTCACTAGAATCATTTGGATCATTTCAGCCTTGGAATTTCCAATCTCCACTAAACAAAAGTTAGAAGGGAGCTGTAACTTGAAAGCTACTAGCATTTTGAGCATTGGTGATGTAGACAGACTAATAACAAAGGAAACAAAACACCACAAACAACGTTATACCGTGGCTTAAAGCTCATAACAGTCAATTTTGCGTAATATGGACCTTTAAACCTAAAAACAGATCTCGTTCATATTAAATGCTTTGCAGTAGTCTAAAAGTATTTCTCACTTATTCACAATATGCATTTTAAGGATCCTAATTGTTCACTAATTATAATTATTCAGGATTATAAGCGCTTTTCACAACAAAGTTTGTCATGACAGTAAATCTAACAACTAGCATGCTGACTCACTTTATAATTAGATGTAGTCAACATGCATCACTTATTTTGACCTCAAGAGCTGCTTATACGATATATCTGTACTGGGGCAAGACAAATTTTGCTCAAATACATCGGAAAAGATCAGATACAGGATCTTTTAATGTAAGAAAGCAAAGTTGTTGTTTTTTTTCTTTTGTTCTATGTCATATCAGTTTGGTGGAAGACATTTTCTCAGAGCCCTTAACTTTATTTGCACAGTAAAACTCACTGTAATTGTCCTCCGTGTTTGTTTTGTATTTAGTTTTGGACTTTTTTTGCAGACTTTATTGACCGATACACTACACCCAGGATGCCATGGCACGACATCTCCTCTGCGGTCCATGGTCGAGCTGCAAGAGATGTGGCCAGACATTTTATTCAGCGCTGGAACTTCACAAAGGTACAACCCATGGAAAAGCTGCATTAACACACACTATGCTTTTTGGAAATGCTAACATAACCTGGACACACTGAGGTAATGGAAACTCGACTGCAGCTGGCTGATTCATGTTCTATTTTTCAAAGCCTTCCTTATTTTGACACTTAGACTGAACTGTGGCTTAGTGCTTGAAACTCTGCCTTAAAACTGAAAGATTCCAAGTTCAAGACCTGGAATAAACTGTATATTTCTGCCACTGTGTTTCTTTGTATTCTCCATGACTGTGTCTCAGTTCTGTTCACTTGCATCCCTTGCTTCCTTGCTCCCTTGCTCTCTTTCTCTCTTGTTTCCTTACTTTCTTGCTTCCTTGCTCCCTTGCTCCCTTCCTTGCTTCCTTGCTTCGTTCACCGCTTCCTTGCTCCCTTGCTTCTTTCCTTGCTCATGTGCTTCCTTGCCTCTTTGCTTCCATGCTTCCTTACTCCATTGCTTTCTTCCTTGCTCCCTTGCTTCCTTGTTTCCATCCTTGCTTCCTTGCTCCCTTCCTTGCTCCCCTGTTTCCTTCCTTGCTTCCTTACTTGCCTTCTTCTTTCCTTCCTTGTCTCCTTGCTCTGTTGTTTTCTTACTTCCTTCCTAGCTTCCCTCCTAGCTTCCTTGTTTTCTTCCTTCTTCTCTTCTCTTGCTCTTTACTGCCTCTTTGCTCCCTTGCTTCCTTGTTTCCTTCCTTGCTTCCTTGTTTCCATCCGTGCTTCCTTGCTTCCTTGCTCCTTTCCTTCTTTGCTTCCATACTTTCTTACTTCCTTGCTCCCTTGCTTCACTGCTCCCCTGCTCCTCTGCTCCGTTGCTTCCTTTCTTCCTTCCCCACTTCCTTGCTCCCTTGTTTCCTTGATTTCTCTCCTTTCCATCTAAGACACTTGAAATATTGGCACCAGTTGGCCCTCTATGGCCTGTATGGCCCTCTCTCCATGGTGGACAGGATCTGTAACCAAGCTATGAGCCAGATTTATAAACTAAGGACTGATTCAGGACTGTCCCAGTTACAAAGTTTACTTAACTTTGCTGAATGGTTCAAATCAAGTCTTGAAACCAAGAAGCAGAACTGTGACGGAGCCCAAGTTTCCTCTTCCCATAACAACAAAATGGCATATCGTACCCTAAGACTTGTTGCACATCTTTTTTATATAATGATAATAAAGCTCTTATTTCTAAACCTTTTTTTTTCTAGATCATGAAGCCAAAGTACCGTTCCTTGTCCTACCCATACCTGATTCCCAAATCTCACACCAGCGCCAATGAAGTCCGATACCAGCTCCCAGGCAGTGTCACCACAAAAGTCCAGGTAAAAAACACTCACATTCTGTATTCATTATTCAGTATTCATTATTCAGTTATTCATTTATCTAGAATACTTTGTGCTTTATGTCTTGACAATCAGAATCAATGTGTTTAAAATAACCAAGTTTCCATTTTGAGTGAGAATTAGTTGACAGCAATAGGTCTGTTCACATTTCTCCTGGTTTGGTCCTAGTTTGAGCTCAGTTTAGTCCTGCTGTACACTTGTTCTGGTCCTGTTCTAGTCCAGGTTTATTTAGTTTTGGTGTGGTGTTTTTGCAAGTGGATAAATGAAGGTTAATAAATAACAAAGGTATAATAGCTTACACTTTGGCACATGATATTCTAATTATGGAATATTTTCCAACTAAATTACTTGATTAAGTTTTGTGAGAAAATTAGTTAAAAGTTTAAAATTTGTGCAGTTTGAATTTTGCATATGCACTAATAAAAGTCACATCTTCTCAACTACTCATTTAAAGGTGCATTGTGTAACTTTTCTGGTGGAGGGACTGTCCACCTGTCACCTTCTTGTTTCTATGGATATGTCATTGCTCTGCCTGGAATGTTCCACAGTATTTAAAAGTATTTAAACAGACATTAAATATTACATTTATTCAATTAAAGGTGGTTTTATTGCTCAAAAATACAGACAAAAATAGACATTCTGACTGTGAGCAGGGTTCCCTCTCCACAGATCTGACCTGTAACTTGGTCTGGTTCGGAGTCCATGAAGATATCACACTGTGAAAACATTCCAGACAAAGCAATAACATCTCCATGAAGAAAATCATTTGATGGAATGCACCTTTAAGTTCCCTAAAAGTAAATTAAAGGAAAAAAGATCAAATTATATATAAACAAAAAATGTAAAAGTTGCATCTTAAAGGTATAAACTTGACCGAAGTCTCTAAGTCTCTTCTTAAAGGGTTAAATTGCCAAGAGAACCTTGACAGATCCGTCTTTCCCACACTATCTCCACATTCCAGTTTTTACCTTCTCTACTTCTGCTAGAGACAGATAAAAGAAAAACGCCTCTACAAGACCTTCATGTTATGTAACAGACTTCACAGACACAGACACTTCTACAGTTCAGCTCCACTCAAGTGCTGAGAGCTCTTGCCAAGTTCAATCTGGGATGTAGTAGTATGCATTTCATATCGTTTAACGGTCCTACATTACGCAAAAATGACTCTTGTGAGCTTTAAGCCTTGTTAAAATGTTCTTAGCTCATCAAAAACATACCTGGAGTTGTTGTTGTTTTGTTTCACTTCCAAATGTCTGAGTAACCCTATCTGTCTACATCTCCAAAGCTCAAAATGCTCTGTCCACCTTGTGATGTCAGGAAGTGGTAGTTTTCAAGTTAACAGGTACCTTTTTTTTTAGTAGAGATTAGCAATGGCAGCGGTGAAATCATCCAAATGATTTTAGTGAAGATGTATGGAGTTTAAAAACACAGTGGGGCACTTCCTGTATTACACATGACATCATAAAGTGGAACAGAGCATTTGTGTTTTCTGTTTGAGAGAAGAAGTAAATATGCCAAAATATGCAGGATTTGTGTGTTTAAACATGTTTGAATGAAACAAAGCGCAACTCCAGATATGTTTGTGATGAGGAAACAACATTATAACACAGATCAGAAAATGGCGTAGTGTAGCTCCTTTAAAGGATTTAATGCTTAACATGCCACAGTAAAGCCATTAGTCATGTTTAATAGACCTGTCCAACCAGATTGCATGCTCTCAATGACACTCATGTAAATCAGGGACACCTCACAAGCTGTGACATGTTTCTGCTTTGATAACCGAAATTTCCTGTATTTTACCACACCTAAAATCACAGAATGGGATCACAGTAATACAGATTTTATTATTATTTTTTTTTAAATGCTGCCAGTCAAAAGTTTATACTCACCTTCTCATCCAATTTTTTCCCTTTATTTGACTACTTTCTACATTTTAGATGAATACAACTCTATATAGAATTATGTAGCGAAGAAAGAAAGTTGAAGAATATTTTTCGACAAAACAAAGGGCAGCTACTTTGAGGGTTTGAATATGAAATATATAAAAAAGATATTTAATAACTTTTTTTTACCTAATTCCATATGCTTTCCTTCACACATTTGTTGATTTCTGTATGTATATCAAATAGGAAAAGAAGAAGAAAGATGATGGTTTGTCCAAACTTTTGACTAATAGTGTATGTATATATTTAAACAAGCACAACATTCAATTACATAAGATAAACTTGAGGATTTTAAAAGGTATGTGTTACAAAGCTTTGGTCAAATATGTAAAAAATTGTATTTCTAAGAGCAGGATAGAATAAATGTGTTTTTTCTTCTCGTAATTATCTAACAACAGTAACAAAGCACTTATTAAAACTATAAAATATGTAATATATAAGTGCATTGTAGTCTCCTCTCTTTGTCTGTATCTGTAACTTAATATTGTGGTTTTATGTTTTAGATCTTGCGTTCCTCAGCGGACTGGTCGGCTGGTATAAAGTATCACGAGGAGTCCATTCACAATGCCTACGTCCAGGTCATCGCCAAAAGCAAACACTACATCTACATAGAGGTAAAGAGAGCTGGATGTGGGAGATGCATTATAAAGATACTAAACCTTTCAACTCCTCAGCATGTTCCATCTGTTTTTATTATTGCTAAACTTAACCTTGTATGTCATCTTAGAGTATGTAGATCTGATGTTCAGTTTTATGTAAATAAAATAACACAATATTTGAAATACAACTACAGACATTCTAAACATTTTAATTTGAAAATAGTAGTAGCAGCAGCAGCACAATTGTTTTTTTTTTCTCCTCACAAACATACCTGGCCTTGTGTTTTGTTTTATTCACACGTTTAACACACACATCTTGCATAGGCTGAGTTCTTTTCTTAAACAGAAAACACTCTTGACATATTTGAATCATTCCAGATCTGGAATTGTCCATCTCTTCTGAAGAAAATGTAAAAAGTAGGTGTTACCTAGTAGCTGTCATGAAACTACCGCTTCATGACACCGCAAGGTCAATGTATTCAAGCATGTGTGAATGAAACAAAACATAAATCAGGGTATGTTTTTAAGGAGGAAACAACACTTCTTAACTAACGCTGCTTAACTCTCTCAAGTGTCAACTCCTTTAAGATGTATTTTTTGTCTCTTCTCAGAATCAGTTCTTCATTTCTTGCGCTGACAACAGAACGGTCTACAACAAAATCGGGGACGCCATCATTGAGCGGATTATCAGAGCTCACAAGTACTTACCTCTCCATATATTCCTTGTATTTTTGTTATTCTGACTTGTGTTGCATGTTTTAGTGTAACTTAAGCTTATTTTTCACTTTCTAGAGAAGGCAAAAAGTACCGCGTGTATGTTGTGACACCTCTACTCCCTGGTTTTGAGGGAGACATCACGACCGGAGGAGGGAACGCCATCCAGGCTGTCATGCACTTCAACTACAGGTTACTCTACATTTTATTTTATTTGAATTTATGGGAAAAAGAAGTTGTAGAAATGTTTGAATTAATATCAACATTTCTGCTGCACAGGACCATGATACGAGGGGAGTACTCCATCATTTCACAGCTAAAAAGAGAAAGTAAGTATCGTCAGTTTATTTTAATACAAATACCCATGATATTTTTGAGACATAAACAACACTTGTAGTTGAATAAATGCAAGCCAGGTTAGTTTAATGCCATACTGTGGACATTTTAAAGGAAAGCATTCACATCTCCAAGGAGTAGGTCTGAGTATCATGAAGAAGGACCGTGAGAAGTGCCCTCGGCAGCAAAACAAATAGTCACATTCCTTCCTAAATACATGCTTTGTTGTTTGTGGTTGTATTATTGTGTTTTTTCTCCTTGTGTTAGTGGATGACCAGTGGATGAACTACATTTCCTTCGCTGGTTTGAGGACTCACACGGAGCTGGAGGGTCGCCTGGTCACTGAGCTCATCTACGTCCACAGCAAGATGCTCATCGCCGACGACAACACGGTCATTATCGGTCAGTGTCGCAACTCCTCTTTCGCTCTCATTTGCTCTGTTTGTCTGTTTCTCTCCTCTCTCTCTCTCACTCACTCCTTTACCACAGCTCTTTTTTTTCTCCCCTTTTTATGGCTCCTTCTCACCAGCTCTCCTGTTTTTTCCTCTGTCATCAGAAGAGAGAAAGAGATTCGAGAGAGAGGAAGCAAAAAAGCTTTCTCTCTTTCTCTCTTTCTTTCTTTCTCCCTCTCCTTGACTACATCATACTACTTTTCTCTCCCCTCTTTATGATGCCTTCTCACCAGCTATTGTTCCTCTGTGTCATCTTCTTTGGTGTGTCTCGCTCTCATATCTCTCTCTATTTCTCTCCTCCTCTCTCTCCTTTCCTATATATCTCTTTTTTTCCTTTCCCCCGCTATCCCTCCTTCTCACCAGCTCTTCTGTTTCTTCCTATGTCATCTTGTTCACCTTCTCTCTCTTTCTCTTCTCTCTCTATTTCCTCTGTCACTCTCCTGCATTTCTGTTCTTTCCTTTACCCTCCCTTTCTCCTCCTCTATCTCTCCTCATAACCTCTCCCTCTCTTCTCTGTATCCCTCCCCTTTTTTGCTCTTTCTTTTCATTTCTCTCCTCTTCCCTCTATTTCCCTCTCTCTTCTCTCCCTTTCTCTTCTGTCTCTCCTTCAGTCTTTTCTAGCCTCTTCTCATTTTTCCTTACTCACTCTCTCACTTGTACACATACTCTCTCTCTCTCTCTCTTCTCTCCTCTCTCTCTTTCTATCTTTCTCCTTTTCTCTCTGATAATGTTGTCACTCACGTCCACTCACAACAAGAACAGAAATAGAGTTTGTATCACTTTGTCATTTTGTCACGTTGGAAACAAACCAAAAGTGACTCAAGTGTTTCACATGAAGTGGACAGTCTCACAGAACAGCTCTTGCACGCCCCCTGCTGGAGACTAGGAATTATTCTCATGTATTCTGTATCTTATTATATTTAACAATGATTATGATGTTCTGCTTAAATGCTATCAAAAATATATATAAATACATTAGCATTTCATTTACATAGTTTCAAATATCATAACATGAGCATTAGAAAATAAGTAAGTGTTGGGGTTCAGAGTGAGATTAAATCTAAAAATCCTGTCCAACATGATACTAGAGAGAGACACACCTGTATGACCTGGATTGACATGTACATTCAAGAATTCATTTGCATGTGATAACTTGTGTTACATGTTATGTGAGTTGTGATAGTGATTCAAGTGATAACTTTGTTTTTATTACCACAACCAGTCAGGTTGGTGAAACTAAAGCTGAGTTGATTCATATATTTACTGCACTAATGTAGGTTTTGCTGTTTAAACACGACAATGCAATGAGTATAACCTCATTTCTTTAAATGGCACTTATCTGTTTTTGCAATTTAAATAAAATGTTCATTAAAAATCTGTCATTGTTCTATTTCCACTGGTCAGCTACTTGCTTGGCTCCAGGGAGATGTTATTTCTTTCCCTGTAATGTTCCACAGCAGAGCCTTAAACATATCTTCCTCACACTTGTGCCATTACAAGAGTTTTATAGCTCAGAAATATCATAACAACATGAATTACCATGTGCAGGCTTGCCTCTCCATAGATCTGACCATTAACCTGTCTCCACTGTGATAAACTAGTTCATTTCCTTCCAGTGGAATCATCAAGGCTAAAAGGGTGACAAGCAGGTGGTAGACCCTCACCAGAAAGGTTACACAATGCACCTTAATTAAATTACTCATTACTAAATTTTAAGGTATGCCACCTGCTTGTTTCCATGGTGATGCTATTGTTTTGCCTAGAATGTTCCAGTGTATAGTGTAAAGTTTTCTATAGCCACAAACACAAGCAGGTGATTCCACCATTTCAAGTTACAAGTCATATCTGTGGAGAGTCTCCTTACAGTAAAATCAGCAGATACAGCACACTTTCCTGTAGAACATTCTTTCAAAACCATAGACTGTTTAAAGAAGTGGACTAAGGGAATGTGACGTTACCCATAGTGCTTGGCTCCAGTCAAATGAATCTCACAGAGGCTTGGAGTTATAGGGGTGAATTTAGGCCTGAATATTCCTGTATTAGGAATAGCCATTAATTAATTTATAGACACAATTGTGAAAAACACCAGGATCATGTAAAGCGTGTTAATACGAAGATTTTAAGACCAAAATGACGAGGCTCACTGCAGCAAGTACAGAGAGAGGGGTGTCATTTTTTCATTCCAAAGTGAATTGGAACCAGAGTCAGTGCAGCCAGAAATGCGCACATACTCACTTCCTATTTGAAACATGCCGGATTGCGAGTTAGCTATGTCCTTGCTATATATAGTCTATGTGCAAAACAATAACATCTCCATGGAGACAAGCAGATAGAGGACCCTCCACCATAAAAGTTACACAGTGCACCTTTAACAATACATACAAATACATACCCAAATGTAAATACACACAGATACATGACCTTGTTTGCCCCACTCTTCCTGTATCCAGGCTCTGCAAACATCAACGACAGGAGCATGCTGGGTAAGCGTGACAGCGAGGTGGCGGTGATTGTGGAGGACTCGGAGAAGGTGCCCTCGGTGATGGATGGACAGGCTTATGAGGCCGGACCCTACGCGCTCAACCTCCGCCTCGAGTGCTTCAGGTGGGCTTTTTACGCACGTCTTTGGCTCTGCTTGAATGAAAACGACATGAGTGATTGATGGGAGCGCATTGTCTGGAAACGTAACACAGACAGATGTTATTAGTTATGGCATTAGGCAGGCAAACTGTGTGTAGGGACAAGCAAAGACGTATAATGAATCTGTGTAGGGACAACAGCGTGACAGCATTTTTCAAACTGTACTGCAGTGGGGATGTGGGGTCAGATGAGGACAGGGCTTCTCCTCTGGTGTCTGCTGCAGAGCTGAACTGTCTTGGTGTAAAAATGTATATTCATAGATGGTCTTCAGACTGTTTTTTTAAAGGTCCTATACTGTATTATGCAAAGCTGACTCTTGTGACCTTTAAGCCTTGTTTATAATGCTGTTATATCATCAGAAACATACCTGGATGTGTTGTGTTTTGTTTCATTCACACATGTTTGAGCAAACCTTTTATTTTTTATTTTATTAGTCTGTTTATATCTTCAAGTTCATAATGCTCTGTTGCCGTTTATAATGACATGAAGTAGTAGTTTCCAAGTTAACAGCTACCTTTTAACCTTTTGTTTGAGTAGAAATTGGCAGTTCCAGAGCTGAAATTATTCCAGTGATTCTAGTGAAAGTTTAAAAAGACAGTGGAGCACTTCCTGTATTACCATATGAGTATTACCATATTCAGTTTGAGAGAAGAACTCAGGCTAAATATGCAGGGTTTGTGTTTTAAACACCCCCAAAAACAAAAAAAAAACAAAAAAACTCCAGGTCTATCTTTGATGAGGAAACAACATTATAACATAGATCAGAAAATAGGGTAATATAGGCCTTTTAATGTCTTTTAAATCTTCTGTTTGTTTCCTGTACATTTTTAATTGTAATGTTTTAAGTACTCTAAAAATGAAGTAGTATGGGAGAGAGGAGCGGTATATAAATATGAACTGTATAGCACTGGACTTGCCATGAAATAGTCAAAAGGTAAATGCATAAATGTTCAACTTTATCATTTTTATTAATGACTAGACCTGAGATCTCGCTAGTTTACAACAAACATCAGCACCATCTGTAATATTGACCTATTGAATGCTGTTATGCTATCTGAAACCCATCATTAACAAACCTGCTTTTATATGTAATCACAAAGCATATTATTATTGTTATTTTTAGAGCAAGCCTAGTTCAAATAAACCTAGAAATCTTGTCCATCATGTTATTATAGAGAGGCACACCTGGATGACTTGGACTCTGTAGCCAAGAGTTAGTTTGCATATGATTTTATTGTCATTACCACGTTCCACAAGTGATGTTGGTGAAACTAAGGTTGAGCTGATTAATCAATCAAAAACTTACCTGGAGTTGTTTTTTGTTTCATTCACGCATGTTAAACAAACAAACCCTGAATTTTTAGGCTGTGCTCTTCTCTCAGACAGAAAATATGTGACATGTGATAATACAGAAAGTGCTATTGTTTTCTTTAAACTACATACACCTTCGTTAGAATCAGTGGGATGATTTCAGACCTGGAACTGCCTATTTTCACTGAACTAAAGGTACAGGAACAGAACAGATTTGGAGATGCAGATAGACTAATAATAAAAGATTGAAATGAATAATACATTACTGCACTAATATAGGGTTTTGCAGTGAAAAACATAGCAATGGATTGTTATCTTGTTGTGTACAAGATGTACATGTGCAGAATTAGCCAATGTGTCTTATATGTAATAAGAAGGCATATTTAGTTACTTTTAGAGGGTATTATGTTAGGTTACTGAGTGCAGCCTTTGCATTTTGCTAATTGCGACTATTAAAAATGGCCTTTAGATTTTACTGCGTATTTATCTCACCCCTGTTAATTAAAACAGCAGGAACACTTGGTAATGGATTCTCAATTTCTTCGCTATAATGAACTAGAAAACTGAGCAGGTAAGGTACAATGTCTTGCTCAAGGGTCACAGTTTGGACCGGCTGGTTGTTGAGTTGGCATAATTTGTATAATATGTGTTCAGGAATTTAGTACACCTGCCCTGAAATAAAACTGATCTAAAATCTGCTACCACCTGTTTTCCTGGTCCAGAACTATCCTGGGAGGCCACACAGACGACAGCATTGACCTCTCAGACCCCATCAGTGACCGCTTCTACAAAGAGGTCTGGATGACCACCGCCGGACGCAACGCCACCATTTATGAGAAGGTACATCTCTGTTTACATCTCTCTGTCTTCATGTCATTGAAACATGTTTAGTATTGATTTGGAGACAGATACAGACTAACGAGTGAGATGCAGAGCTTACTTTATTTAACTTGACTTTGACTGGTAGGTACAGAAGTCAGCAATGCAATATGGAAATGTGATAGATATTCTGAATAATTTTGCCCTTTTGTCATCTTTTCTTATGAGAACCGGTAAAAAACCTAAAAAAAAAATAGGGATTGGTGGCACTGATAGTAGCTGCATAAAAAGCATGAAACCCTTTACCATATTTGTCTCAATACTTTTCTTTTTCCTAGGGCATTTGTATAGTCCATTTATTTTTAGTGCAATAGCTGAATCTCAACCAAGTCTCCACAGGTTTTAGCACATTACTGATAGATTGCAAAATGATGATCTGAATATTGGTAAAAGGAGACTAAAAAAAAAAAAAAAAAATAAATCATTTCATTTTTGTCAGTATCTCTCTCCCTGATTTATACTTTAACTTCATTTAACGGTATTTAACATTGCGTAACTTCTTTAGGTGTTCAGATGTCTCCCCTCGTCTCTTGTGCGTAACATGACTGAGCTGGAGCAGTACCAGAGCAAACTAGGAATGGCTCAGACCGACCAGATCAAAGCCCGGGAAGAACTGAAGAAAATCCGGGGATTTTTAGTCCAGTTTCCGTTGGATTTCCTGTCGGAGCACAACCTCATGCCTTCAGTGGGAAGTAAAGAGGCCATGGTACCAACTGAGATCTGGACATAGAGAACCATTAGGAACCTGCAAAATATGGCAAGAAATTACCTTAAAAAGGACAAATCTGCCGCTTGATTGATAGTATGGAGATATCATGAGCCTTATGTATGAAGAACAGAAAATGGAAGAAACTAGGTGCTCAAAGACAAAATACATTTAATGGAAAACATGAACTGGGTTTTGACTATGGAAAACAAGACTTCCAAGGGACCATATGTGAAGAGAAAACAGACTTGCATGCAATTTGTAATATACAGTTCTCTTGAAAAGTAAATTTTAAAATGTCTCAGATTTTTCAGTGGTGAAGCATGCGCCAGTCAGAGATGCACCAACTAGTGTTTCTCTATTCGCCAGTTGTTCGATATTGGACCCAATATTTCCTCACATGTGCTTTTTCTATGTGTTTTATCATATTAGTCTTATTACAATGTCAACAAAGCAATGGCTAGATCGCTATGAGCTGCTCTTTCCAACCTGTAATATGCTTTTTGACCAGCAGAGGGAACACAATCTCTATAAACAGCAACAATCACAAGCATGGTGGTTTTACATTAGGTTGTATTCTTCATTATGTTTTTTTTTTTCAGTGTATAAAATGCTGAGTATCCCAGACAAGCTTTTTTATATAATTTAAATTTCTATCTTTAATTTTCTTGCATTTGTTGTTGAGTTGAAGGAATTTCTCTTTGTAAGAGTAACTTGTGTCAGGCTATTGGGTTTTAATGTATGCAACTTACAAGGCTATTAATGTATGTCAAAGTATGAGATGGTATTTTAAATGTAACTCCAATAATGTGAAATTAAAGAAACACTTATTTGGTATTCTATATATTGGCTCATCGTAAAAATATTTTCAGGGTTTTCTTTTTCAGAGATCAGGGCAGTGAATCATTTTATGTTACTTTGTGGAGCTCCTTCAGGTTTAAACTGAAAGGTGCACTGTGTCATTTGTCGGATGGAGGGTCCGCCACCTGCTTGTCACGTGGAGATTTTATTGCGTTGTCTGAAATGTTCCACACACACTATATCAGTTAAATTATCTATTTTAAATGTATTAAATTACAGATGTTTTTATTGCTCAAAAATATCCTGAAAGACATGCATTCTTACTGGGTGACATCTCCACAGAGCAGACGTGTATGTTGACCTGATGTTGCCACCTAATTCCATACTGTGTAATTGCCAAATTACAGCTCCATTTAAGGTGACATACCTTAGTAGTGACACAGCAACACGTGCCACAAGAGCTTGCAAGACAAAATTACCATGTGAGATTTTTTTTCCCCATTTAGTTTACCTTTAAATTGGACACAAAAGGGTTAAGTGCAGATCTACAAAGGCCAAAACTGCAAATGGGATCATAAATTTATAAATGTGTTCAAAATCTCGTCCCAAAATCAGGGTTAATCAACTTTGTGGTAACTAATGCACACAATACCTATAATTTAGTTAAAATCTGTTTCTGAAATTTTTTAAACAGCAAAGTTATTAAAGCATTTTGCATAATCTTGAGTTTTAAATCTGCTTTTTGGACTTAAAACAACACCATTATATTAGTTAGCTCTGGTTAGTCTCTGCAGTGACTTTGAACTCTTAAAGGTGCACCGTGTAACTTTTCTTGGGGACGGTATGCCACATGCTGGTCTCCCTGGTGATGTCTGTCACCATGGATGTCTTAACTGTCTGATCAGCCTGGAATGTTTCACAGGAAGACCTTAAACTTACCTTAGTTCAATGGAAGCAAGCAGGCCAAGATATAGAGGAGTTCTGTGGAAATGCGGGTCCACTCACACAAGAAGTTTCACAATGCGCTGTTAATTTAAATTTTTGTATGGGGAAAATTTGTGGAAAAATTGACTTCCTTATCCAGAACGCTCCGTCACTGTTGAATTCCACTGTGTCTCGTCCCACCCTTAATCTGCATGTATGTGTTTTTTCAGAAAACTGGCAGGGCTTTATTTTGGCTTGACTTGGTTTAGTTAGTCAGATCACCTCAAAGCTTTTCTGTTGTCACACTCCCATTTCAAGAAATTTTGACTCATTACTTCTAATTATCATGGGTGGAATACTGTTTTACGTAAAGGATGTTTTGGTATCTGGAGACAGAAACACTCAACACCTGTATTGTCCATTCATACCTGCCCATCCTTTAATTGTAAAAGTATTATATGAACCTGAAAATATGGGTCACAACAAGGTAGGAGTGACCTGGAGGTTTTCCTAATGAGTCAAGTAATCTTCTTGTCAAGGCGATTAGCTGTGACCTACAGTTACAAAAAATATATAACTCACTTAATTATACACCTTAACTTAAACATGATTCATGCATTCGTGGACTACTCATTCTACGAAAACACTCCGCATCATTACATTTAAGAATGTTATACTTTTTACTCCCTGCTTAGAGATCATGGCAACACACTAGGGAATTCCATGACTGTTACCAAGCAACCATGTAGTATACTAGTACAAAATTCCTCTTATGTACACAGAGATTATGATTTGCCATATAGAAATATAAGAAAGCACCTTTATTTTGTTGAAATTAAAGCATGAAATATATTAGTTTCTAAATTTTTGGATAGAATTCTCCCTATAAAACTATAATTTATATTTCCAACAGGTATTATCCCACCAAATTATGTCAAAATTTGAGAATCACCAGAACACTCACACAATTTAAAATACACATTATTTTACCTTCAACTCTCTTCTTCAGGTCTTGCGCTTGGCTTTATGTAACAATGATTTTGAATTTATATTTCCCAGTTGCTTAAACAGTTAATTAGTTTAGTTAGTTTTAATTTTTTATCTGGTTTGGCTGGATTTAGTTTCACAGAAAATTACACATAATTTTCTTTTACTATGGAACCTAACTGTTGACATTTCTACACAGGCTCATATTGCGTAATTGTTAAATTTTCCCAACAGCAAATCTGATGCCACTATTTCCTTTTGTGAGTTGTTTTTTTCACCTTACATAGCAACAGCTGAACAGGTTTGAATAGTGGCCTACCCCAATTCTCTGGAAATCCAAATCGCCTGAGTCCTTAAAATATTTCCTTCCTCCAAACCATATCTTTGTAGTGATATTCTGTTGAATTTCTGCCATTTTTCAGAGGAACACTTGTAACTGCATGGGGAGGATCTCAAGGACAAGTTGGGACAAGTTGCTGGTTTTGTAGCATTTTGAAGGCACACGCACATGTAACTTATGCTCACTCATAAATATTAATAGTTTTTCCCATAAAGGTCCTATATTACACAAAATTGTAATGTTATAATGCTGTTACCTCACCCAAAACATACCTGGAGTTGTGTTTTGTTTCATTCACACATGTTTGAGCGATCCTTTTTTATTAGTCTGTCTACATCTCCAAAGCTCAAAATTGTCTGTTCCACCTTGTGATGTCATCCAAATGATTCTAGTGAAGGTGTATGGAGTTAAAAAACACAGTGGACCACTTCTTGTATTATCACATGACATCACAAGGATCATTTGAATAATCATTTTATAATAATTTCAGCCCTGGAATCACCAATACTGAACTAAAGGTAAAAACTTGAAAACTTAACTTTACTTGAAAACTTGAAAACTACCACTTCATGACATCACAAGGTGGAACAGAGCATTTTGAGCTTCGGAGACAGCAATAAAGGGTGACTAGACAACAAAGGGTGACTTAAACATGTCTGGATGAAACAAATCCCATCTCCAGGTATGTTTCTGATTAGGTAACATTATAGCATGACTTAAAGCTAGGGTGACCAGATTTCCAAAATAAAAAACTGGGTGGTTGGTAATAATAAAATTGTGAAAGGAGTGCATTCATGATTTATTCACAACTGTGAGTCACTATAGTCACATTTTCTTTGTGTTTTGGTCATTTTTAAGCAGCTTTTTTGTATTTTACCTAAACAAATGACAATGTATGCCTCTCTTTAATGTTGGCAGGGATCAAATTTGTAAAAAATATGGACATCTGGGACATGTCTTGTATAAAACTGGGACAAATCAATGATTTTGGCTGAATCAGCTGGGACAAAAGTCAAATTTGTGTAGGCCAGGGGTCTCCAATGCGCAGCTTGGGAGCTACCAGTAGCTCTCCATCCCATTCCAAGGGATTTCTGAATTATACGTATTGTGCTGAATAAGTAAAATTGGATTAATTACCATGGTAATTCTACCATATTAATGCCCAGTTTTGTGCACTAATAAATGAATAATAGTTTTATGTTATCGATCTAATGGGGTGTAACGATATCCAAGTCTCATGATATGATATTGTCACTGTATGAACATCACGGTACGATATTTATTGCAATATCGTGGGAAAGCTCATGATATGGTGAGGAGGCTCACGATTAGGAATGTAACAATATCCAAATCTGTCTGTACGATATTTTTAATGATATACATCTCACGGTACGATATTTATTGCAATATTTTGTGGAGGCTTAACAGCTAAAACTATGAATATGTTACTTTTTCCTCTTAAAATGCCTTGACAAGACTTAATCCAAAGAACTAAGACTTAAAAGTGCTTAGAACTGTTATTTCTTCTTGTAGTCTACACTGAAATGGAGCAAAGGATCATGGTCTATGTAGTTCTCTCTATCTTTTTAGCTATTGCTGCACCAGAACTCTTAATTTAAGCAAAGAGACTTGTAATTCGATATAATGTGATGGTCCACGATATTATTATGAGAACTTTGACGATACGATATCACAATATTTCAGTTATTGTTACACCCCTACTATCTAAGTATAAGTAGCTCTTTGGCATTTTTGTTTAGTAAAGGTAGCTCACCAGAGGAAAAAGGTTGGAGACCCTGGGTGTAGGCTAATACAGGCTCTTTAAACACTCTTTAAAATAGGCTAGCACTGATTAATTTCTCACTTGGGCCACGTAAGTGGAAAAAAGTGTGTCTTATCAGAAGAATTTCCTCACAATCCACAAAATTTCAAAAGTCTGTATATTTGTCGCAAGTGAAACCCAGTCAAAGCCCGCCCCTGATGGTCGTGTCCGGGCCATGTCTCCGCCTCTCTCTCTCTCTCTCTCTCTCTGTGTGTGTGTGTTTGTATCCTCCAGTCTGTCACACTCAGCGGCACCAGTAGCTTCCCTCTCCCCGCTGCGTTCACACTTCTATCCGGCTCTCGTCTCCTCGAATCACCGCTGCTACCTCTCCCGGCATGGAGCAGGAGGGGCGCTTTATTCTTGTCCCCATGCGCCCTTTTACCAGCTAGGTCGGGCTACTACAACCACGTCCAGCCTCAGGACACGATCCGGGCTGAGTTTTGTGTGTTAGATTCACAGAAGAAGCAGTGACAACCCTCTCCAGCGCGAACCGGGGTCGCAGAGACGCTACAGACAGCAGCAGTGGGAAGAAGCCGTTTCAGGATACCGTGCGTTTTGGCGTGCGCCCTCCATCATGGCGAGTGATTCTCCGGCTCGCAGTCTGGATGAAATTGACCTCTCCGCTTTAAGAGTAAGTCCTTTAATGCTTCTTTAATTCCAACACAATTCATCTTCCTCGCCTTTCCTCCTTTGCACCTGCCAGACAGCCAGCGCTCCCTCCCGTTAACTGCAACCCGGCATTCTTACACGAGCTGAGGAGTGTTTGAAGCTGATTTGACCACACAAAACCGCTTAAACGTGTCAAATTATAGATCAAATTATGTATAGACATTGATTAAACTGACAGCTACCTATGGAGAGCCTATAGCCCCATTATAAGTCAATGATAACATGATGAATTCCAGCTCTGAAACTGCTGACCTGAAAACAAGAGATTGGTGTCAGCTTTTACAGTCATAGGCATTATGTACCTATTTTATGATTTAGTTATACTTTTATCCGCTGTATTATGAATGAAAAGCTTGAATCTGTCTCTCTGCCACATGCCCATATTCTTTTGTTCACCCATGTTGCTGCAAGGTACTGAGAATACCCAGACAGGCAGATAAAACCACCACTATTTTTCGCATCACTGAACACAATGCATGTGTGGAGAGCTTGCTTCTTGTTTCCCCTGTGTGGGTGGCTTCATAGACAGTAAGTAAAGGATGCTTCTATGCAAGACTGATGTTAAAGAACTATTTGTTGCTATTGAGAAAGATTAAATACAGTGGTGGCTTTGTAATTGTATGTTTTTTCCATCCAGACAGCTCATATATATTTCTTCTTTGTCCTTCCTTACCCACATGTTTTGCAGAGCTATCCGGCCACATTGCATCACTTATTTTTTCGCATTTTCGATCCCACATTCTTGTCTGGCCAATCTGTCTGTACCTGCCACGCTCAATGTTATCCTTATCTCAACAGTCTCGCCTCCTACATCAGTGGAGCGGAGATCTCAGGGAAGCAGTTGTTGACGTGAAATGGTGCTTCACAGTTCACACATGCTGTAAATTGAGTTATACGAGGAGAATTTAAAGGAATGGGAAAGGGTAGGAGAGATCACAAGGGAGATTTGGTGTTGCATCAAACGTACTTGGTGGTACAGTGGCTTTTTCGGTGGAATCTGGAGTAGCATACGTGGGAATTTCAAGTTGAGATCAGATTAAGATGTGCTTATAAGGGTTGTCAAAGGTATACAAAATCAGATACTAATCAAAACTAAAACTAGTATCGAAACTAGATACACTTTTGAACAAGTATCGATACTGAAAAAGTTAATGTTGTACAGGACTTTCTACTGTATTGTCCAAATAAAGAGTGCTTTTCTTTTTAGAATTTGTCCTGACTAACAAGTATTTTCCTTTGTATTGAAATTGAGTTTAAAGTTTTAGTATCATGACAACAGCTATTAATCAGCTAAGTCCTGGTATAGTCACGCATAAGTTTCTTTGTTTACATTCTATGAGTCTGGCTTGCCCTATTTAATTTTAGCTATTTTAAGTCTTGCTTTAAACAGTGATGGTGTAATATGGATTTTTCCCAGTTGTTTCCGATATCCAATTTATTTACCTATAGGTGATGTTGCCGATTACAGATATTTTCCAAAGTGACTCAGTATCAGGTTTTCCAGGGATGACTTGTCACTTTATCATTGGCAGTCCAAGTCTATCGTACGGCTTTGTATTTGTTCCATAGTTAAGGAATACTGTACAATTTAGGCTATATGGGGTGTTACTTTTTACTTTGTCCCAGTTCCAAGCTCGTACAAATTGTGAGGTTTTACTTCTGGAAAACAAGTATGCATTGTGATCTATTCATGGGCTTCAGTTTTCTGTTACTCGCTACATTTTTAAGACTTTTCAGCATTCAAAAGATATTATATTCTGTTTGAAATTGTTTACTGCTCTGGGAACAGTTCTAGTTTTTCATGATTGTAATGCCGATGGATATAAGGCTGTTTTTACTGTGGAGAATGGCTGAAAGAAGAGAAAATATCCAAAAAAATACACAAAATAAGCAGACATATTGGCCATTAAGTTCCAAAAATAGCAAAACTTGACTTGCATACCGCCATTTCTAAAATTATTGTTTTGCCCACCACAAGAATGCACTACTTCGAGTACTACTACTTACTTTGGATTACTATAGTTACGTTCATAGCTTCACAGTCTTTCCCATGATGACTAGTTTTTCCTGGAAGCTCCATTTATTTACGCATTTATTACGACTGCCCAACCTACCCTCACTTCTGTTACGTAAGAGTAGACAGGTAAACAAGTCTGGAGAGGTGCAGTGTTTGGGTGCTTGTGTCACCTGCCCACATGCTCTCTGTTAAACGCATGTTCAGTTGAGCGCTGGCTGGGGCAGACAGGAAGTAGGTCATCTGGCTGTGACGGAGCAGCGCCACGGGGGGAGGGGCGGGGTGGGCGAGGTGGGTGAGGGGGGAGGTAGTGGCTGTATCAGGGATGTATGATATAAAAAACATGTAATATCTGTTTTCTTTGGATTTGCTCTTCATGCATTTGGAGAGAAATGTATGGATCACAACTGCTGAACTGGTCCTTACAACTAGGCCTGTCACGATAACAAATTTTGATGTTAGATATATTTTTCAAGTAAGTATAGATGATAAACGATAACACTGAAACCAAACCATAAAGCAGAATTATCCACAAAAAGTATATTACATATACAATATTGTTTAAAAATAACAGCAATAAATAAAAAATAAACAGAATGCAACACTCGAGTAGTTAGTTTGTATCTATAATGATTCATAGAAGTTCAAAATCTGACACTTTACAGCTCAAATCTCCTCGTAGTACAGTAAAATAACCAAAAGTTGTCCCCCCCCCGGCAAAAAAAAAGTGTCATGTATTGAACGATAAGTTGATATAGTAATTAATGTGCGAGCTACGATAGCAATGGTGTGGTTCTACTTTAGTACAGCCCTAGTTATCCTATTTTAAGTACTTTGAATGAGTTTGTGTATGAATTGTGCTATTCAAATTTACTTGCCTTGTCTTAACCCTGAGATAATTTAAGATCTGTTGATGCTCAGAATACTAAGGTGGTTTTTAGTGTCAAAGCTTTGAGAGCCATCATGCTAAACATGTATTGTGATAGGTTTGACTGCATGTGCTTCACTTTTCTGTCTATCTTGTTTATGGGTGGTACAGTTAAATAAAGATGCACTTCCTCCTTCGTGGTTGGAAAATCAGGTACTTGAACTGCAGCTCTGACTATAAATAATTTGAAAACATAACAATAAATACGGGTGACAACCTCTCATTTTGTTTTAGCCCTAGTCAGTCCCATGCAGAAGGAATTATCAGCTGTTGTGAAATACAAGTCAAATCAAGTTCATCAATCCATTTGGGCAGGGTACTTCATCAGATTCATTTGATTAATTTGTGTTTTTAATAACTGAGATTTTGAAAAACTGCAAAATTGTGAAATCAAGGGTTACTATGAAGTTCACTCTTGACTTTCTTACTTGCAAATCAGGTTATGATGCAATTAAAGAACTGACAATTAAATAGTCATTCTGATTTTTAAACAATTTGAATGAGTTTACATATCTATACAAATATCACTGAAGGCAGTTTACATTTTCATAAATAATAGGATATGCTAAGTATGAAAATGTCAATGTTCCAAACACAAGCAAGCCCTGCTCTGACTTGGACTAAAATCAAGTAAAATGTGCAAAAAAAAAAAAAATCAAGATTTCTTTTTTGTGGCCATATCACCCAGCCCTACAATACACATTAGGTCACACTGGATAGAAGTATAGATAGATAGGATAGTATAATTTGAACTTAATGTGGTTGGAAGGGTAAAACTTTAAATAATCCACAAAATCTGGTGTTTTTTAAAGGGTACACACAAAAATAAGAAACACGAAATCATATCTGAAGGAGAGGTGCAAGAAACACAAATGTTCAAATTGTTTAATACTGCCAGAATAAAGCTTTTGTCACTTGTAGACCTCAACTTGTATTACTCAAATGGGAGTGTGACTAAGGCCTAGGGATGATACAAGATCTCGTGCCACAAGATCAGACAGTTTCTTCTCAAACACCTCACTTGTCATGACTACAGTATCATTCATTGCACTGTGCTGGAGCAGCTGTACAGACTGATAGAGCGGCGTTTATGGAGAGCTGCTGCTTCTGCGACACAAATACAAAGAGAGCCACACAGGGCAGGAAGTGAAATGGTTTTCTGTGTTTGCTGTCTCAACACTTTTCCACTGTCAGTCTGTGGCTCTCTGCGACAGTCTCTGCTCTCGTGCTCATAGGCAGTGATAGAAGTATACTTTTCAATTGCATTAAAAGTGCATTGTGTAGCTTTTCTGTTGGAGGCTCCGTCAAATGCTTTTCTTTGTTCACGGAAATGTTATTGCTTTGTCTTGAATGTTTCACAATGTGGTATTAAACCTTTCTGTCTTCATGGGGGCCAAACTAGACCAAGTTACAGGCCAGATCTGTGGAAAAGCAAACCGCTCACAGTCAGAATGCCTGTTTTTCGAGGTATTTTTGAGCTATAAAACCACCTGTACGGAAAAGAAAAACACCTGGTTTAAAAAAAAAAAAAAAAAAAAAAAACTGGTAGAGAAACAAACAGGTGACAGATGCCAACCAAAAAGTTACACAATGCACCTTTAAGTTACACAAAACTGAATACCTGAATGAAAATATATTCAGATACATTGGCCAATCACAGTACTGTATTCTGAATACTCTGAATACTTTTACATTGAGTTGCATTTTAATTATATTGTTAAAACGCAATCTAGCAATAAAAACTGCTTTATATTTGTTTCACTGCTTGTTCTGCATTTTCTATCACTAATTTTAAGAAGGAAAAATCATACATGCCTCACCAAAAGAGCAGTTCTTTCACATTTTCTTACTAGTTATGCACAATTTAAAGTCTAAATCGTGTGGTCAAGTATTGCAATGTAATCCTTTGTAACTCTATTCTGAATACCAGCAAATGAAAAAGCAACTATACCGGAATACAGGTACTCAGAATTAGTATTATTTCACATATTCTCGGTACATGTCTTGAGGTACTTCCCAA